CCAAGAGGAGAAGGAAAGCTATTTTATTCATTTTTTAAGTTTTACTCATTCATCTGTTGAGCTGAAGAGCAGAGTGACAGAGATCTTCCATCTATGGGTTCACTCCTTAAATGCCTACAACACCTGGGGCTGCACCAGGCAAAAGGAACACCATCTGGCTCTCCCGAGTGGGTAGCAGGGCCCAAGCACCAGGGCCACCATCTGCCGTCTCCCAGGTGCATTAGAAGGAAGCTAGATGGGAAGTGCAGGTGGAACGTGATACAGGATGTGGGTGTCCTGAGTGGCGGCTTAACCACTGAACCACGATGTCCACCCCAGCTATTTTATTTACACATATTTTTGCTTCCTGTGTTCTTTCTCCCTTCTGATATGCCAAAATTTCCTTTATTATTTCCTGTCTTTTAGCCACTCTTAGGTCTGTAGAACGTCTCAATTTCCCCTCCATTCCTGAAGGATATTTTCACTGGACGTAGGAATCTATGAACAGTTCTTTTCCTTCAGGAATGGATAAACAGCAGCCATTTCCTCTGGCTTCCATGGGCTCTGATGAGAAAGCCACAGTCCTGCCTTTCACTATGCAGAAGGTGTCTGCTTTCTCTGGCTGCTCTCAGCATTTCTGTTTAGTTTTCAGAAGTTTACTTATGATGTGTCTTGGTGTAGACTGCTTTGTGTTTATTCTGTTGGAGCTCACTCAGCTTCCTGAATATGCTATTTGTCTTTTTAAAAAAAATATTTCAGAGGCCGGCACTGTGGCGTAGTGGACTAAGACTACACCTGCGGCACCGGCATCCCATATGGCACTGGTTCTAGTCCTGGCTGCTCCTCTTTCAATCCAGCTCTCTGCTATGGCCTAGGAAGGCAGTGGAAGATGGCTCAAGTGCTTGGGCCCCTGCACCCTCATGGGAAACCCAGAAGAGACTTCTGGCTTTGGATCAGCTCAGCTCCAGCAATCTGGGGAGTGTCTCTCCCTCTGTAACTCTACCTCTTTATTAAATAAATAAAATCTTAAAAAAAAATTATTTCAGGGGCTGGCACTGTGGCGTAGCAGGTAAAGCCGCCACCTGCAGTGCTGGCATCCCATATGGATGCTGGTTCGAATCCAGGCTGCTCCACTTCCAATCCAGCCCTCTGCTATGGTCTGGAAAAGAAGTAGAAGATGGCCCAAGTGCTTGGGCCCCTGGACCCACATGGGAAACCTGGAAGAAGCTCCTGGCTCTGGATCGGCACAGCTCTGGCTGTTGCAGCCAATTGGGGAGTAAACCAGTGGATGGAAGACCTCTATCTCTCTGCCTCTCCTTCTCTCTCTAACTCTGACTTTCAAATAAATAAATAAATCTAAAAAAATTATTTCAGAGCGAGAGCAAAGGCAAGATTGGCAGAGAGAGTATGTGTACTCCCATCTACCAGTTCACTCCCCAGATGCCTGAAATGGCTGGATATGGGGCTGGCTGCAGCCAGAAGTCAGGAACTCAGCCCAGGTCTCCCGTATGGGTGGCAGGGACCCAGTTACCAGAGCCATCATTTGCTGTGTCCCAGAGTCTGCATTAGCAGGAGGCTGGAGGCAGGAGCTGAAGTGAACCTAGACACTGATACGGGACACATGGTATCTCAACAGGCCAAATGCCAACGCTGATTTGATTTTTTTTGAGTCCCAAATGAGCTTATGGATACAAATCTCTAAACATGTGCCTCTGATAGCCATGCCCTACAGTACAGATCCTGGGGAACTGATCACCCCACTGCCTGTGTGCAGGAATGGATCCCACACCTATTCCTGAAGGGCCTCCTTCCCTCTCCTCCTGGGTGAAGGCGGCACGCAAGCTCCTATCAGGCCACTCGGCTTTTTGGGACATCTGAACCTTCACTTAGTTTAGCTGACTGTTGGTGTGGATGACACCACTTTACCAGCTATAAGGACTTTTCCACAAAAACAGCTTCAAACTTATCACAGCCTGCTGCCTACCAAAGCTTGTCTGAGACAGATCTGGATTATGAAGGTTGCTTGTAGGGCACGTGGTCCCCACGCTGCTGCACACTGTTAAGGCCCTCTGTGACAAAAACACTCATGCCCACTTTTAAGATTTGAGGGATTGGGCTGGGATCATGGTGCAGCAGGTTAAGCTACTGCCTGTGACACTGGGATCCCATTATAAGTGCCAGTTCAAGTCCCAGGTGCTCTGCTTCCAATCCAGCTCCCTGCTAATGCACTTGGGAAAGCAATGGGAGATGGCCTGAATGACTGTACCCTTGCCATCTATATGGGAGACCTGATGAAGTTCTGGGCTTCTGGCTTTGTCCTGACCTAGCTAGCCCTGGCCGATGCAACTATTTGGGAATGAACCAGTGAATGGAAGACATCTCTCTGTTTCTCCCTCTCTGTGACTCTGCCTTTCAAACAAATAAATTAATCTGTAAGATTACTTGAGGGACGCCAACATTGTGACACAGTGGGTGAAGCTGCCATTTATATACCTGAATCCCATATCAGAGTGCCCAGTTCTAGTCTTGGCTGCTACACTTCTCATACAGCTCCCTGCTAATGTACCTGGGAAAGCAGAAGATAGCCCAGGGGCCAGCACTGTGATGTAGTGGGTAAAGCAGCCACCAGCAGTGCCATCATCTCATACGGGTGCCGGTTTGAGTCCTGGCTGCTCCACTTCCGATCCAGCTCTCTGCTATGGCCTGAGAAAGCAGTGGAAGACAGCCCAAGTCCTTGGGCCCTGCACCTGCATGAGAGACCCCAAAGAAGCTCCTGGCTTCAGATCAGCTCAGCTCCGGCCATTATGGCTATTTAGGGAGTGAACCAGCGGATGGAAGACCTCTTTGTCTCTCTCTCTGCCTCCGTCTCTCCATAACTCTGCCTTTCAAATAAATAATAAATCTTTTAAAAGAAAGAAAAAAAGAAGACGGCCAAAGTACTTGGGCTCCTGCCATCCACACAGGAGACCCACATGGAGTTCCTGGCTCCTGGTTTTGGCCTGTCCCAATCTTGGCTGTTGTGGCCATTGGGGAACAAACCAGGGAATGAAAGATCATTCTGCCTTTCAAATAAAATAAATCTTTAAAAAAAGAAAAGAAAACAAAACAAAACAAAAAACAAACTTGTGGGGCCGGTGCTGTGGTGCAGTGGGTTAACGCCCTGGCCTGAAGTGCCAGCATCCCATATGGGCGCCGGTTCTAGTTCCGGCTGCTCCGCTTCCAATCAAGCTCTCTGCTATGGCCTGAGGAAGCAGTGGAGGATGGCCCAAGTCCTTGGGCCCCTGCACCCGCATGGGAGACCAGGAGGAAGCTCCTGGCTCCTGGCTTCAGATCGGCACAGCTCCGATCGTTATGGCCAATTGGGGGTAAGCCATCGGATGGAAGACCTCTCTTTCTCTTTCTCTCTCTCTCTGCCTCTCTTCTCCTTGTGTAACTCTGACTTTCAAATAAAAATAAATAAATCTTTTTTTAAAAAAAAACTTGTATGCACTTAAAAATAAGCACATTGTCTAAATATAAGTATGTTCACCAGAAAAATTCTGATAGAGTTAGGAAGAAAATAAAGACACGTAGGGACAAGAATTTGGCTTCACAATTAAGATGCTAGGCTGGGAGATGCTTATGTCCCACATCAGAGTGCCAGGTTTGAAGCCCAGCTCTGCTTCCTGCTAATTTGCACCCTGGGAGGAAGTAACTGAGAGCTCAAGTACTTGGGTCCCTGCCACTCATGTGGGAGACTCGGATGGGAGTTCCTAGCTTCAGCCTAGCTCAGTCTTGGCTGTTGTGGGTATCTGGGGAGTGAACCAGAGAACGGGAGCTCTCCATCTCTCAGATGAATTAATGAACAGAATGTAAAAGAACACATGTGTGTACTCTACCTTCTCAGCTGGGATGAATACCCCCAGCACTGCGGGGCACACATCCTCTGACCTTTCTGCCTACAGCCACCACCGTTATGTTCAAACCTTGGAAGGCCAGGAGGAACCAGAGGAGACAGCATCTGACCCAGGACTTGAGGGGAAGGTGAGTGAGGGCAAGAGCAGAGGCCTGAGAGCATGCAGGGACACATCAGAGGAGCAGGGTGGGAAGGGCAGGCGCTGGACCATGGACCAGTCCAAGAAGTATCTCTGTCATCAAGCGCCAGGCCCTTTGGGTTACCCAGTCTCACGGAGAGGATGGAACTGGATGTCCACGTTTTGCTTCTGTGGCTTGAATGTGGTCTGTCCCACCAGAGCGCAGGTTGAGGCTTTGGCCCCAGTGCAGCAGTGTTGGAAGGAGGCTGCAGTGGGAGATGTTTGGGCCCTGGGGATAGAGCCTCACGCATGAGTTAATGCCTTGCTCCCATAGGTCTTCACTCTCACGGGGCTGGTTTAGTTACCCGAGACTAGAAAGCAGCTCTACCCCCATTTTGTCTCACACATGTCCACTTGCCCTCTACTTTCTGCCCTGAGCCAAAGCAGTACGAGGGCCTCATCAGAAACCACCACAGGGGCCAGTGCTGTGGCATAGCAGATAAAGCCCCCACCTGTGGTGCTGGCATCCCATATGAGCACCGCTTTAAGCATGGCTGCTCCATTTCTGATCCAGCTCCCTGCTAATGCTCCTGAGAAAGCAGTAGAAGATGGCCAAGTACTTAGGCCCCTGCACCCATGTGGGAGACCTGGAAGAAGCTCTTGGCTCCTGATCAGCCAGACTCTAGCAGTTGCAGCCATTTAGGGAGTGAATCAGTGGATGAAAGACTTTTCCCTCTCTGCCTCTCTATAACTCTGCCTTTCAAATAAATAAATAAATCTTTAAAAAAATAAATTTAAAAAAACCATGACGATGCCACAGTGCAACCTTGGACTTCCCAGCTTCCAGAACCATGGGCCCAAACAAACCTCTTTATAAATAATTACAGTCTCAGGTATTGTGTTACAGCAACAGAAAATGGACTAAGACATAGGCTCAGAACCAGGACTGACCCCAGATCCACATCCAAAACTACATGAGTCTCCTAGCAGAGCCTGATGCCCACCTACCATTCATGTTCCAGGTGAAGGCGTCCCGCAGCTTCTGCCCGTCAATCTCCATGTCCAGGCGGATGGGGACGAGCACCTCAGGCTGGGATGCGTTCTCGTGGATCACAGCTGGGTCGTGGTCATCAAAGCTGAAAGTGGAACAGCAGCCATCATTAGTGAGGGCGTCACGATCCCTGTACCCAGGGCTCCAGGGGAGTGAACTGCCAGCCTCCCTCTCTGTACAGGGAGTCACTGCGAACCTGGCTGGAAGAAAAGAGGCTGCTTCTCACACGCACCTGTCAACCAATGGCCACCAGGGGTCTGGAGGCCATGGTCTCATGGGGACAGAAGGGGCCATGATGCCAAGCGCCAGACTGCTGGTGGCAAGTGCTTCACCAGGGCAGAGCTGACTGTTTCAAGGATGCTCAGGGAAGGGAAGGAAGCTGCTGCCCTGGGCAACAGAACAAGACCCAGAAATGCGTCAGAGGTGGGTTTTGGGCCCACAGCAGGCAGGACATTAGCAGAAAGCTGTGAGAAAGCAGGAGAGCATTTGCAGAGAGGAAATACTTGAGCAAAGGCTGAGAGGCAGGAGAGCGGAGGAGCTGAGGGAATGGCAATCAAACGACTGAGAGCAGAGGGTAGATCCCATGGTGGTGGGGGATGGAGGAGATGGGACTGTAAGGCCAGTGGGTATCCCAGAGCTGATGGCTCCCCATCTCAGGCTGCAGAGACTGGGCTCCATCCTGCAGCTCAGGAGGACAACCCGTGAGGGAATTCCATGGTTTAGGAAGACAAAGAGGAAGAGATGACGCAGGCAAGCAGGGGAGACCCGGGCACCTGAAGAACATGGAGAGGGCTGAGATCTGCCTTGCCCTTAGAGTCTGGCAAACAGATAACAAACCAACAGGGAAGGGAAAACACACCTGGTGCCAGGTGCAACTGCACTGAGAAGTGAGGATGGCAGGGGGGTTACAGGTGCGGAGACAGGAGTGGCCTTCTAAAGGGGGAGGTGAGTGACACCCGAAAGGAGATGGGAGAGAGGGAAGATGGGGCAAGCCATGGAGACGGCGACAAGAAGTGAGCTCCAGCAGAGGGTGCAGGGCTACAGCTCCGTCAGTGTGAGGTGTGACCAAAGCGAGGAGGCTGCCATGCGTAAGGTGGAGTGAGTATGGTGGGGCTTGCATGCCCGCAGCCCCAGGAGAAGCCTGGCTTTGGCTCTGAATGTGCTGGCAAAGCTGGAGGATTCTGTGTGGAGCAGCTGGCTCTGCCCAGGGTGAGGACACCCACACTGCCTGCCAGGCTGAGGATGCGGTGGCGACACATGGCTGAGGCTGCTGCCAATACGTAGCCAGGGTTGGTGGGGAGCTGGCCAAGGCAAGGTCCAGGCCTGGATTGTCAAAGGACTTTTTAGGAAGGGGCTGAGAGAGAGAGAGAGAGAGAGAGAGAGAGAGGGAGAAAGAGGCCCAGGCTTTTGGCCTGGGCGAGGAGCAGAATCCCAAGCCGAGTCAGCAGGCAGCAAGCATGAGGCCAAGGAGGTAAGGGTGGCGGCTGGGGCAGGCCTGGGTTACAGAAGGGAGGGTAGAGGCGGAAGTCTGAGAATGGCCCCAGAAGTGCTGGCATCCTAGCCCCTGAAACCTATGACCACAGCTTCCTATGGCCTAAAACAGGCCTGTGCAGGTGTGATTAAGTGACGGGTCCTCAGAGATGATCCCACATACCATCCCAGGGTCTTGGAGACAGAGGATTTCAATCACTTGGGGGCATGTGCCAGGGAAGAAGCCAGCAGCATGATGCGGCCACAGCTGAGGGACACTGCAGCCACCAGAGCTGAAGAGGCAAGGATGGGACTTGCCCTGGAGCTTTCGGAGGGAGCGCAGCACTGTTCAGACCTTACGTTCAGCCCAGTGAAGCTGACTTGGGATTCCTGGCCCCCAGAACTGCAGGAGAAGCGGTGTGTCCTGCTGAGAGCCACCTGCTTTGCAGGGGCCCATTCCAGCAGCCCCGAGGAAGTGACACAGTGGCAGTTACATGGATGGCCTTTAAACGGAGGGCAGAGTGAAGGCCCCAGAACTGCACCCCAGGAACACGACTTGAGTGGCTAGGAAATGGGAGAACAACAATGAGACACTGATGCAGGTGGAGCGGGGCAGCTGGGGAAGCCAGAGAGCAGCAGTGTCTGAAGACACCCAAGGAGACAGTGTTTCCAAGGAAGAGCAGGAGGCAGCAGTGCAGTGTTTTGGGGAACCCAAGGTCCTGCTGGGAAGGGGCGAGACGAAATGTGCTGGGCCCGGGCGGAATCTGTGCAGGCTCACCAGAGGGGGAAGGTTCTCTTCTTGTCCCGGCCCATGCGGTTCCTGTTGATGGTGGTGGAGCACGGCACGGCGTCCAGGTGGTGGGAGCTGTTGGGCAGGGTGGGCACCCACTGGCTGTTCCTCTTGGCCTTCTGTTCCCTGCGGAGATGTGGCAACAGGGAAAAGAGAGCCATCACTACTCTGGGAAGGAGGCACCCCAGCGAGGGGGCTGGGGTGGAGACAGAGAGGTTCCCGAACATGAGCCTCACATGCTCCCCGAGGATCTGACTTTCCTCGGCAGGTGGCTGGCAGTCTCCGAGGGGTCGGAAGGGAGATGTGAGCATACTGTATGGCCAGCGTCAGGAACCACCGGCTCAGCTCAGACAGCTCAGACGATGGGGATCCGAGCTTGCTGACCCAGTTCTCAGCCCCTGCCCAAATTAGGTCCATGTTCTCATTTTTCCAGGTCTTGGGTGTGAGGTGAAGACTAATCACAGGATCAGAGCAAGACCTGCAGAACAGGAGACTTGCTCTAGTGCCCACTAAAATGGTTACCGTAAATCCCTTCTGTCCTCATCCACAATTGAGGGGTGGTGTTAAGTGGCCTCAACTTTAGAAAAATAAAAGAACTAATGGGCCCAAGGCTAGGGCAGACCCTGGCCTGTGCCTCTGTCCTCCACCATAAATTTACTTAGATTTTAACCCTACCTCTGGGGTAGGACCCAGGAATGTGCATTCTTTACAACGTCCATGGAAGATGCCAGGGCAGTGGAGTTTATGTGGAAACCCCAGCTCTCGACCGCTCCTCTTTCGTGCCTGCCTGGACGTCCTCCTGGAGGCTGCATGGAGGCCCACTCCCTAACCCCGACTCCTGCCCTATCTCAAAGCAGTCCCTCTCTCATCTCTCCCAAGCCCTCTTGTCCGGCAGCTAGCTCAGGTGGGCAGTGTCAATCATATCACAGCTCACAGGCACAGCTGACATGAACCACATCCTCACATGAGCACAGAATCCCAGGACCTGAATTAAGAAAAGTCAACATTCCTTCTGCAGCAAGAGCCTCCTAAGACCCCCGAGAAGGGGCATCCAGCCTCTGCCCGAGTAGTTCCACAATGGACGAGAAGGCTGCCAGGCCCCCGGTAGGGCTAACAGGGCAGCCAGAAGCCAGCTCAAGGTGCTATCCTCCAACCTGTGCCCCCTCCTGCGTCCCCACCTCCAGGGATCAGGATTCCCCTGCCTCAGCTGGTCTTCATGTGACCCGATCATCAAGAAGCTGTTTACCACCCCATAAAAGGATCCAAGCTGACACATGCAAACTTGAAAGTGCTATCCATATGCAGCTAATTTCCTTCCACGACTTCCCCCGAGGGTCTAGGCCTCCTTGTGTTCTCGCCACATCCCCAGGGGAACGAGAATCTGCAGTGCACACGTCTAGTGTGCCGGCCGGGCTGGCGACAAGCCACTTTTCCTGGGCGAGTCATAAAAACAATCCCCAGGCGGAGTTGAAAGAGAAGCTGGCAAGAAATTATTTCCACAACCACGTCACTGCCAACAGTAACCCTTCCCCTCCCTCAGCGCTCCCTGGCTCGTGTGCGTACAAAAGCCCACTTTCTTGCGTGATGAAAGCATACAATACAGTCTTATATACCACCTGCCTGAGGCGGCTACAGAAGCTACTCAATGATAACACAGCAAAGAACTTCAAGCAGTTCCTGGAGAATGGATTAGAAAGGTAAATGTATTTGTGGTGTTTTGAAATCCATGCATTGTTTTTTCATAATACCCATTTTCCAGGAACTTTCCAAAGACCTCATATGTAAGGGTTTGCCTTGAGGTGGTGGTGGTGGTGCTGTAGTGTAACAGGTTAAGCAGCCACCTGCAGCACCAGCATCCCATATGGGCACCAATTCATGACCCGACTGCTCCACTTCCGATCCAGGTCCCTGCTAATGTGCCTGGGAAAGCAGCACAAAATGGCCCAAGAGCTTGGGAGACCTGGAAGAAGCCCAGCTCTAGCTACTGTAGCCATTTGGGGAGTGAACCAGCAGATGAAGATCCTTGTCTCTTGTGGGGAGCAATCCGGACCAGACTGAGTTACTCGAATTAGGACTTATTCTATGCATCTGCTCTCCCACAATATGGCGCTGGGAGAGAAGTAAACAGCTTCCGCACAGCTGCCTCCAGTTCAACCAATTAACTGTAGGACTTGCTCCTGATTGGAGAGCAGCGTACTCAGCCGAGTTGGGATTGGCGGAGGAGGACTATAAAGGAGGAGAGAGACGGCATGCACCAGGAACATCTATGGGGAACATCTAAAGGGAACCCGTGCAGCCCCCGAGAAAGCTGGCCGGCGGTGTGCCGCTCCCCTGCGGAAGTGGGGAATGCGGCCAGGGGGAACTGCCCTTCCACGGAGGTGGAAGGGATAGTAGCCAACCCGGGAAGAACCAGCAGCAAACCCGGGGAGGGCCGAGCGGACAAAAGAACAACACAGGGTCCTGTGTCGTTCCTCCACGAAGAGGGGGAGCGACATAATGGTGCCGTGACTCGGATAGGAAACCTAACTCGGTTAGGAAACCTAGCTCGGATAGGAAACCTAGGATGGATAGAAAACTTAGGAGGGAAGAAACGTGACTCGGATAGGAAACTTAGGACGGATACGAAACTCAGGAGGGAAGAAACGGGAAGAACTGGGAAAATATCGGAGAGAGAAACTAGCAAACAGCCTAGGGAAATTACCGGAGAGAGAGACTAGCAAACAGCCTAGGGAAAAGCCGGACGAAAAGGGTGCCGGAAGAAGCTATTGAAAGCCTAGGCATAGACTCGGATACGGACTACGGGGGGAAGCTGGGAGAAATCTCTAAGGTCGAAAGCGAAAGTGAAAGCTAGAACAAACAGACTCGGACGCGGACTGTGGGGAGAGGCCAGGAGAAATGAGGGAGGAATATCGTTGGAGGAAAGCTTGGGGAAACATACCGGGTAGAGAAAAATGTTAGGGAAATTGAAGCCGCGGGGGGCAGGCCAAGGCGGAAACGAAAGCCACTTTGGGATTCTCAAGTTAGCCCGGGAATAGGGGGCGAAAAGTTAAAACCAGAAGCTGAGACGTAAGCCAGATTGGGATCCGTCTGATTAGCCCGGGGAGCAAAGGACGGGAAGCCAGATCGTGGGGCGGAGACGTACGCTGGGTTGAATTCGCCAGGCTAGCCCGGGGAACTTAGATTGAATCCTAGTGGCGGAGACGCAAGCTACGCTGTGTTACTCGCGGAAGCCGCCGCGTGCAGAGAGAGCACGGGGCGTGAATAGATAGGGAACGCTGGCGTAGGCCGTGGTTCAGACGCGAAAGGGTTAAGCGTGGAGACCACGGACCGCGCAAAGCCGGGAAGCCGCGCAGAGAGGCGCGCGGGCTGAAGCGGCGCAGAGCCGGGAACCCGCCGGCGGGGCGAGGTGCCGGAAAGCCGCAGGGATAAGAGAAACAGAAGTTTGGAAGTGAAGTAAAAGAGAAATGGGAATGCTGGAAGATAGAAGTGAAATGGGAGAGGTAGGAATGCCCGGAGATAGAGAAATAGAGAAAAATAAGGCCTCCCCTCAACATGCCAATTAGAAGGCTTGGATTCGGTCTGCCTGATTTAAGGCGGTAAGCGCCAGCAAAGCTCGACCAGAGTATGAGCTGCAGGTCACCGAAGATAGGCACGAACCAACACTAATAAGTCTCCCCCACAATAAGGCAATGAGAAGGCTTGGATTCGGTTTGCCTGATAGGTTTTGTAAACACCTGCAGGCAGTTCTAGCAGAGCAGAGCATGCGCTGCAGGGCACCGAACACAGGCACGCATCAGCGCCTAAAAACCTCCTCACAATGGCGAAGAGAGGACCCGGATTCGGTTTTCCTGATTGATAGGACATGTAAGAGCCTGTGGCGGCTCTAGCAAGTAGAGCAGAGTGTGTGCCGCGGGACACCGAGGACACGCGCGTATCAACGATAAAAAATAAAAAGACAGGGGGATCTGTGGGGAGCAATCCGGACCAGACTGAGTTACTCGAATTAGGACTTATTCTATGCATCTGCTCTCCCACAATATGGCGCTGGGAGAGAAGTAAACAGCTTCCGCACAGCTGCCTCCAGTTCAACTAATAAACTGTAGGACTTGCTCCTGATTGGAGAGCAGCGTACTCAGCCGAGTTGGGATTGGCGGAGGAGGACTGTAAAGGAGGAGAGAGACGGCATGCACCAGGAACATCTATGGGGAACATCTAAAGGGAACCCGTGCAGCCCCCGAGAAAGCTGGCCGGCGGTGTGCCGCTCCCCTGCGGAAGTGGGGAATGCGGCCAGGGGGAACTGCCCTTCCACGGAGGTGGAAGGGATAGTAGCCAACCCGGGAAGAACCAGCAGCAAACCCGGGGAGGGCCGAGCAGACGAAAGAACAGCGCAGGGTCCTGTGTTGCTCCTCCACGAAGAGGGGGAGCGACATAATGGTGCCGTGACTCGGATATGAAGCCTAGGCAGGGTTTAGTGTCGTTCCCCCATGAAGACGGGGAGCGACAGTCTCTCCCTCTCTCTGTTAACTTTGTTCTTCAAATAAATAAATAAATCTTTTTTTAAAATGAAATTAATGAGCTAGAGAACAAAAAATATTTGATGTCATACTGCTTTACAAAAACTCAACCATCTAGAGAGCTAACTCCAATTCTTCACACAGTGTTTTTGTTGTTGTGACTGTGAATGCTAAAATTGACAAAGACAAGCATTCTTCCCGCATTTGCTTACTCCTCAGACATACTTCTGGAGGTGGGTCATCATTTATTTACTCATCTATTAGGGTATCAACAGATGAATCTGAATGTGGGTGGGCACTGTGGCACAGAGGGTTAAGCTGCTGCTTGGGACGCCTGGACCCCATATCAAAGTTGCCGGCTTGATTCCCAGCTACTTCACTTCTGATTTAGCTATTATTAATTAATAATATGCACCTGGGTTGGCCGGAGCACTTGAGCAATGTCACCTATGTGGGATACTCAGGAGATGCTCCTAGCTCCTACCTTTGGCCAGGCCCAACAGACCTGTCTGTTGCAGGCATTTGGAGAGTGACCCAGCAGGTGACAAAATCTCTTGCTGTCTGTCTGTCTATCTATCTATCTCTTCCTCTCCGTCATTTTGCCTTTCAAATAAATAAGTAAAATCTTTAAAGTGAAATGAACCTGAATGTATAGGCTTGAGATAGTTCGTAACAACCCAATTACCTGCCTTTTCAATTTTCACTGCAAAGACTCTCTTAAAGCTTCCGAGTTTTTTACACATTCAACCCTACTGCTGTTTCTTCTGAGAGCTGATCTGAGTCAATACGTTTTCTAACAATTCTGTCCCATTGTCGAATCTCTACTCTCAAGGCATTCCTAACCCGTCTCCAGGATTCAGAAGAAACTTAGAAACCCGGCTAACAACATCTATAAAATGCTGGAAAGTATTTCAGTTCCACTTCACACCAAACAATTCATAAGCACAAGAAAACACCCTGCGGGTGTCCGGGGCACGGCCGGCCAGGAGAGCGTTACCTGAGGTAGGTGGGGGGCTCCGTGCTGATGGACACAGCCTTGTACTTCTCATCGTTGCCGTCCAGGATCTCTTCCACCTCTGAGGCTTTTAGCAGAGTCACGCTGGTAGCAAGGGTCGTATACCCATGATCTGTAAGCAGAGAGCAGTGCTGCGGTCACCCTGCTGGTGGCAGGCGCAAGCAGCAGCCAGCCAACTGGATCCAGCACATCAAGGTCCTCACATGCGGGAGGTGGGAAAAGCAAGGTGTCAAACTTACTACTGCCGAATGCTGGCCTCTTCCAAAAGGGCAATCTGGCCTGAGCGCTTTAGTTAGCGGTCCTCCTGCACACAGGCTCCGTGGACACTGATTTGGACTACTCTGCTGCCAGGGCGCTGGCTCAGCGCACAGGAAGTGTTCAGGGCAGCGGTGGCGGCGGCGGCGGCAGCAGCAGCCGCAGCTCCAGCACGGCACAGCCAATGGGGACTCTAGACTGCAGGACATGTGCTCTTGGTCCCCTCTCAGGAGGGGGAGGGAAGGCCCCAAAGGAACACCCCATTGGGAAGAGGTCTGACACCACTGTGATCCACAACAACACGAAGCAAGGGAGGGTGATGGAATGAGGGATGAAGACGCCTTTTCTTTTAAAACAAGAGCCCAGAGAGTGGGAGCTGCTTCAAACCAAACAGGACTTCTTGTCCCTGAGCCAGTCCGGATGTGGGGTCTGGGAAGCAGGACAGATTCTAGGCAGCTCGACCCCTAGCTCTTGTAAGGCACCTCGGTCAAGAGCTGCTACCTGCCTGTGGGCCCAGCCTGGCTTCTCCTGGAGAAATCAAGTGGTTAAGGGGGAAGGGTCTCTCCAAAGCGCAAGGTGGAAGAGTCGCCAAGACATCACCCAGGGACTCGCAGAGGGGAAAGCAAAGCTAGGAAGGCACTGCGGGAGTGACCGGCGCTCCACTGAGGAGGAGAGGGACACAAAGGAAGCGCTCTAAGCGAGTGAGTGGAAATGCGACAGCAGCAGATCAAACAGCAGCTCCGGCTCCTGCATTAAAAGAACCACGGCTTTGTCCGCAGCGGACTAAACCACAGCAGCACCTACGGGCACAACCAAACAGGACAGACTGTGCAGCACCACACACGCGTGCACACAGCCAGCCACACACACACACAAGCCAGCCACACACACACACGCTCACCCAGGCCCAGGGCAGCTCTCTATAAGGCGCCGCTGTCAAATGCAAAGCAGTTTCACCGCCTGCCAAAAGGCACTGTGTGCAAACCCAAATGTCCCCGTGGGAGCGTCTCCCGGCAAAGCCCCTGGAGTGTCTGAAGAGCATCCTTCCGCCCTGCACAGAGCTGCCGCAGCCCAAAGCATGCTCGTGCCACTCGAGTCGGGTGGCTCCCCCTAGCAAGCCCCAAGCACACCGTGCGGCCCACGACGAGCAGGGACATGCACACACGAGCATGAGCACGCTGGCTGCCAGGATG